CTCAGGTGACCCTCATCATTACTCTCTGCCAGTAGCTTACCATCTTTAGTGCTGCAAAGGAAATAGGAAGCAGCTGGAATTAACAGATCTGAATTTATACACCCACTGCAGAGACCTCAAGAAGCTGGGATTTATTAGAGCTCAAAGGTGGGTGGTCATGCTCTGGTTAGTTGCTGTAAGTATTTGCAGCAATGCCTTATTTCTCCCTTTTCCGGACCTTGAGGAGCTGAGCTGTTAGAGTAAGATTTAATGTAAATTCATTTTTGTCTTCTCAAGTTTCCTAATGAAGGGTCTTCGTTATAACTAACACCTTAGGAAAGCGGAGCCTTACACAAACTGGAAGATGCTTTTGAACCTCTGTCGGTACCTTTGACTCTATGGTGGTCCTCACCAGTGTGGGGTGGGGGGAAGGAGGACTCAGGAAGGAAATGATGTGAAGTTCTCTTAATAACTGATGTTCTTGCGGTTCGGTGTATGGCATTTCTTACAATGTAAGGGTAAGATGGCACATACAGAGCGATGTAGGAGACCACAGACTCCTGTAAATATACACAGACTTATTTCTGAGTACCTGGGGGAATGCATTCACTGGTTGCTGATACAGGATGTGCAGGGTAGTCCACAACACAGATGTAATGTTTTTGTGCTAAATTTCAGTTAGACCTCAGCATTCACATTTACTTTATTACTTCCAAGTCTTGCTCTGGCAGTAACCATTCTGCCTGCGATGTTTCATATTTGCTACGGTATTTCTTCTTTTTCTTTTTCTCCTGTTATTTAATGTCCAATTAAGCCTATTTTAACAGTGTGGCTTAGTTTTCATTTGGGGAAACTGCAACTAAAGCGGGATAGACGCTGGTTCCTGCTCTTCAAAGCAACCTAGGGCATCTTGTTCACGCGGCACAGCTATTTGAGGCAAAGTCATTGTTGCTGTAGTGCAAATACGGGGTTAATGGTGCAGCTGTCCTGATAGGCTTCCAGGTTAAGTCTTTTTAACATTCACTCCAGTAAATTCCTATGAATAGCTGAACAGCTCAAGGTAGCTTTAAAGCAGTGTGAAACTGCCTTCTGATTATGAATGTTTCCTTCAGGACTTTAAGTGGAAGCCTTCAGCCTGCTGCCCCTCTGACTCCTTATGTACAACAGCTATTTTAGTTCAGCCTTAATTCTGTTTTCTGCCTTTGTTTAGAACCGCTGTAGTTTTGTATGGTATGGTTTTACTGCTGCTGTTGAACTTCCTCTGCCCAATTAAACACTGGACCAGTGCTTAGCCACCACTTTATGGGCAGTTAAACCATGTAGCACATCTCCACTAGCTGCGCATTAGCACCAACCCTGGGATTCACTGCATGGTTCAGCAGTACAGAAACCTATTGCACTGTGCCCCAGCAGAGTTCACCTCAGGCTGAATTCTGTCTCATCCTTTACTCTTGGTATGGATGCAGAACATCCACAGTCTTGCAGGAGGCATGGTTACACTGGGCAGCTCATCTTTGTATGCTTGCAATAAACCCAGTTAGTCAGAAGTGCTTAACTGACACCAGAGTCCTCCATCCACCCTGTGAAGGTGAAGATACACCCAAAGGTGTTTGATGGGCGGATGTCATTCCCATCCCAGGCTGGTTTAGGAGAGGAGGGAAAAAAAAATAAGGGAAATAAAGAAAAAAATAAGAAAAAACCTCATGTTTTCTTGATCACTTTCCCCCCCACACGCTCCAGTGGAGCTTCCAGCAGTTACTGCTAACCTGGGAGATGGCATTTGTCACATAGATAGCCATTAGAAACATGAGAGCCGTCTGGTTCCTTTCTCCTTGCAGAGCAAACGGCTATCTGCCAAGGTGGGCTGAAGTTAGATGGAGTATTTCAAGATAAAAGGCTTCTTTTCTTTCTGTAGTTTCTCTCGGCCACCCAAAATAACTGCATCTATTTATTTTCTTTCCCTGCTGTTACTAAGTATAGCTGTACGAGGGTTCCCCTTTGAGTCCTCCTTTCCATCACTTTGTCCTTTGTGCCTTCTCTTTCACCATTTCCATTTAATTCCAGCTCCGATTCACTGTGTGCCTCTGAGTAAAACAACGAAATGGCTGTGTAGTCCAATCTACAAGATTAAGCTTGGTCTGTCGACTGAATTTTAAAGGATATTTAATGTATTTCTTGAAGAACGGATGGGATTTTCAAAGACAGCTGCCTCTAAAAGAAGCAGGGGGGAAAAAAGGTGTAATTCTGGATGACAGCAATTTTCTCATAGGCTTTTACTCTGAATAAAGAGGCGTTTTCTCAACTGAGTCAACTTTTCAGTCCAGGTCTTCAGGGTGACTATATGGATCCCCATGTGTGAAAACGTGGTCTTAACAAATCAGGTTGAGTTAGTTTCTTCCAGTGGGACACTTTGAAACTTGCAGAATCCCCTTTGGGATGTTGAGGCTGGACCTGCTCCCCCTGAGGCTCTGTTGTACCCTGCTGTTGTGCAGCTCTTCCCCTGCTGGGGAGTGCTCAACCAGGAGGGCTGTGAGACAGCAGCAGCATCCCCAGTCAACCCTGCTCCTTGGGGTGACTACAGGCTGCGTGATGCCAGATTCCCAAGGAACTTGCAAAGAAGAGAATTCTTTCTGCAAGCAGAGGAGCACCGGTTTACAACTTGGAAATGCATGTATTGATGTCTGATTTCTTGCTGCTCAGGCATACTTCAGGGTTTCCTTTAGCCTGGGCTCAACTGCAGGGTGTTTATATAGGCTACTGGCTGTTTACATTAGGTCAATACACAGGATGGGCTGTTTATACCAGACCAGCAACAAATTCCACAGCGCAGTCTGTGTCTACCACTGCTCCGTTTTGATACTTGCAGAGCTGGAAAGGAATAAGGATTTGGCTCTGGCAATAAACAAGCAACAAACCCTCCTGTGTTGTGGAATATTCCTTCTTGCCTGAGAAGTGACCAGCACCGTAAGCTTTTAATGGGCTGTTCAAATGTCTACAGCATGGGGAATTAGCCCAACACAACATAAAGGGCACATGATGGGGAAGAGCTGAGAAGAAAGCCAACAGTCCGAGCTGATGTTTGTCTCCATCTGCAGGGGACACAGAAGACCCATTTGTAGGCACTTATTTCACTGCACACACAGGTTTGCAGTGTGCTTTGCTCACCCTATCACTGGTTCCGGCTCCACAAATGCCAAGACTTCTGTGTTTAATCCAGGTGTTCCTCATATAAGACTTTGTGGGTTACTCTGACAGGGCCTCCTGCCCTGGAAGGACAATGCTGTTTGTATCCTTCACAGCACTGATAAACACTTGCAGTGCTACTGAAATGCTTCTTGGCCTCAGATCGGTGTGGTTCTGTAGGGCTGTGGGAGATGGTGGGTTTCTGTCCTGCTGCTTTCAGCAACCCCTGCTGATCTGACCTGCCAGGGTCCATCCCTAGGGGATTCATCCCAAAACAAAGGATGTCCTGGGACCAAGCTCCTCCCTGACAGCCATGCTGTTCCTCCTTTGTTCCTGTGCTTTCCCAGAAGGCGTGCTGCTAGTTGGAGGGAAAATAAGACAGAAAGCCTTATCCTGCTGGTCCCAGCAAGCCCAGCCAGAAAGGTGCTCCCTGTCCTGATGCTGTTGGGGACCTTAGCCCTGTGCTGGATGAGCATGGACCCCAGGAGGTCGGAAATAGCTCGTTGTTGCTGGAAAATGCAAGTTTGATGCCTAACCCTTCAGATTCCTGCATATTTTTTTTGCACACCTCAGCAGTTTTGTTTGCATTTGACATTTAGCTCCAAATGCATTTTGACTTGATTCTGGGCCCGCAGCTGCTTGTGTGCTTTCCCTAGGGAGTGGTGCAGCGAGAAAGGACATAAGGTTGAGCAATACCAGTCCAAAAGGGGATTATATCACCTACTGCTAGTCGTCTAAGTGAGCTGAAGCCAGTCAGCTCCGCACCCTTAACAAGTGATGGAAGAGAAGAGGCATCTCTTGAAGGTGGTTCTTCCAATTAGGCACAGAAATGGGGCAAAAAGCATCTGAGCAGTGTCTCATCCCATCTACAGATCACTGATTACAGAGGAGGCCTGGATGAGCAGCTTGCATTACATACCTGACTTGCCAGTGACTAAGCTGGAGGCAGAGGAATCCCCTGTTCCAGTCCTTTGTGAGTGCCTACATGCTCCAGTCTCACTGGGGCTACGAAGTAAGTCAGCAGCAAATGAGTTTTGTGAGGATCCATGCAGAATTTGCCTGTCTTCCTTACTCATAAACACCACCAACTATTTCATGTGCCAAATCCTGCCACCACGGGACTGACATCTGGAACCTCCCCAGCCCAGCTCCCACGTCTGATAGATCTAATTCCCCTCTGCCTCCTGTCTGCTTGGTTTTTACTTTCAGTTGTGCTTTTCTATAGCTGCGTCATGCAGGATCAAGCGTGAGTTATAATGTTAATAGTAGATTTTATTAGTAAGTAAATCATTTCAGGAGGATGCAACTGGTTAGCATAGCTTACTGTTTCCATCAGGAACAGTATGATATATAGTACGGATAGCTATATATATATATACACACACTTTCCCTCAAGCCAAGAGGTGATTTAATGAACTGCCTCCTCTAAGGGCTGGCTTACACTTAATTCCAAACAAGAAATTATTGCCATTGGGGTGAATTTAATACCATATCAACGTTCTGACCAGGCTTTACGGCTCAAGTGCAACCTTTCCCCAACACCCTGTCGTTATAGCGCTGGGTCACAAGGCACTTCATTTGGCAAGGCTCTCAAGTGCAGTATTTCTTCCTTCTACCTGCTTTTCTCCCGAAAAGGCACCATCTTGTGTTGTCATAAACCTTCCCATTAAATGGAAAAAGAAAATCGTTCATGGCATGGGCAATGCTGGACACATTCCTGACAGTTGCACAAGAAGGAACTGAAGCTCGAAAAGAAACAGAAGCATTCACTAAACTGCCTCCCTTTAACAACTAACTGACATGATTTCCCCACTTTCTATTCCTTTACAGGTGCCTCATCCCAGCCCAGTCAGGAATACAAACGTCGTGATGATCCCAGCTGGCTGGAGGGTCAGGAGGCTGAGGCTGGATAGCCAGAGGATGCAGCACTCTGCAGGGAGCAGCGGCTGCTCAGAGGAGCCTCTGTGAGTAAAAAGATGCAGTGTGGTCTCTTTCAAAAAGCTTTTCTCTGTGTTTGGATCATGGGCATGGATGCGCTCCATGGGAATCTGCTCCCAGCGCTGCTCCGCAGACTCCCTTTGCTCGTCTCTCATGCTAAGGAAAACAAGCCGCACGGTGCGTGGCAGCTGTATGGGTCAGCTCTGGGGAGGTGAAGAGCGTGCATCCAGGCACATCAGTACTTGCCAGAGGGATGAAGGTGGCTGTACCTTTCTTTCCCTCTCTCCTAAATCAGCCCTGCTCAGCCCAGCCATAGGCAGGCTTATACATTGGGAAGGGAAAGGAGCCTCTGAGGATGATGAGGACAGACTTTTCAGCAAGGCCTGTTGCAATAGGACAAGGGGTGATGGATTTAAATGAAAAGAGGAGATATTCAGGCCGAATGAGTGGAAAAAATCCTTTGCCACGAGGGTGGTGAAACACTGGCACAGGCTGCCCAGAGAGGTGCTGGATGCCCCATCCCTGAAAACATTCCAGGCCAGGCTGGATGTGGTTCTGGGCAACCTGATCTAGTTCAAGATGTCCCTGCTTGTTGCAGGGGGTTGGAACTGGATGAGCTTTGAAGGTCCTTTCAAACCCAAACCAAACCAGTCTGTGATTCTGTTCTGTGACTCTATGATGTTGCTGTGCAGTTGCCTGGACTGCATTTGCTACATGGCTGCATCCTTTTCTGAGCCCCCACTGACTCTGGGAGGGAAGAAACGAGCCCTTTGCAACTTATATACCTATAGTTGGTGTGGAGCAGCAGAGGCACACCTGAAACCAGAAGAATAAAGATCCCACTCCAGTATTTGAGCCTCAAGTTGCAGCCCTGGTGACTTTTGTTCATGGTATTTCAGAGGATCTCTCCCGTGCTGGGCAGGATTGGGCCTGCCGCTCTCACGCTGCCCTGTCAGTTGGATGTAAATCTGTAGTAACTCAGGGTTTGGAGCTCTGTAAGCTGAAGCAGAAGTTTGCCCTTAGTAAAAGCACTGCTGTTTGACAGGGCTCTGTGCTTGTTTAACGTAACAACTGCGCTGGTTTTCTAACAACAACTTTAAATGCCATTCATCAATAAACCCATTGGGCTGCTTGGCTTGTGTTACATGCCGCTGATTAACTACCATTAAATTAGCAGTTAGTGTAATCAGATATAAACATGCCGTTGTGGCTAAGCTGTTAAGCATTTTTTCCCCTTTTACAATGGAGTGTAACACATGTCGGCACGAGACAGGCTCAGTAATTTCACATTACTGCAGCTAAATTATGTTTGCGGGCTCCAGAAACGCTTCTGGTGCTACCAGGCTCGTAAACACCTACCTGGCAAGGAAAAGCTACAACTTCTGCCCCAGAGCGTTTGGGGTTTAACAGGATTCAGTACAGTGGAGTTACGCCATAAATATGTGCGTGGGCTACGGACAAGAGGTTGATAGGAGGAGCTGAGAATGTGATTTGCTTTTTGCCACTGATTTTCACCCCGGCTCCCATTATTGATTGGCGTAAATCAGCATCCAAGTTGTACAGGAAAGGTACCTACCGAGGTGTCTGCACTTTGAAAGGAGAGGGAGGTGACTCTGTGTGGGTTTCAGCTTTGAGAACTCCAGGCTGTCATAGTCAGAAGCGGATTTTGATTTCTCAAAAGGAGACATTTCATAGGTATAGATCTGTAGAGTGGAGTTAACTGCGTTTATTTTATAGGCAGCCCTGCATCTTCTCCATTCCTAGGCATCTTTGTCACTCACAAAGACAGAAAGGAAATACACAGCTGCAGGAGTACTCCTAAACCGCTTCCTTAGACAATATAGAACAGAGTGAAATTGCTACTTGCAATTGCTTATCAGTGCCAAAATTAAATCACAAAAAGCTATCAAGCACCAGAACTGTTCCCATCACGGCCTTGTGTTCCTTCACCTTGCACAAAACCAGCAGGAACTGGCAGCACACCCAGAAGATGAATCAATCAGAAACACAAGATGGGGGAAGAAATGAATAAGAATGCAAAAGCTTTGTGGATATAGAAGCTTCTTTGTTTCACAAGTGGTTAAGGAACAGGGGGAAGAGCTTTCTGGGAATGCCTTTTATTGCCCTTTCTCTTTGGTCAAAATGTAGCTTTTTACTCCAAAGGTTCCTAATATACAGATTTTTTTGAGCCTATTTTATTCTTACCCTGTTTCCCTATTTGAAGTACACTAAAACGGCACTTACGGATGTGGTTTAGTGGTGAACTTGGCAGTGTTAGGTTTACAGTTTGGACTCGATGATTTTAAAGGTCTTTTCCAACCTAAATGGTTCTATGCTCGTAAGATGGATGAACTTCAGACAAAATAAAAGCAAGGTGTGGAGCAGAGCTTTTTCAATGTTTAGGTGGTGGGTTTTGTTTGTGGGGGATTTTTGGGGTCTGTGTTAAAATAATGATGCTTTATCATTTAGATATCTCTGTCTTGGCTTTTAGATGCTGATATGCTTTAGAGTATACTTGGACACAACTGCAGGTGAACTTTTGCCCCAGTACGTACAGGTCTAAAGAGCTTGTGAGCTGCAAATTTCACTTCTAGATGTGGTGCTTGCAAAATTCCGCCTTGTCTCTTTAAACCCCCCCAGGACATTTGGAGCGCTGAATTCAAATTGGTTTTCATTATAAGTGATTCTTCAGTTTAGCTGTGCTGTTTGGCAACGCTGTGTGCACTGTTAGGCGCTGCTAATGTGCTGTCATTGGCCCTCATGGAAGCGTGTAGTTTCTCCAGCTATGTTCAAGTGGCTTTCCTGAGTTGCCAGCCTTGAAATGGGCAAGCGCGAGGATTCGGTGTTGTCTTACATTACAGCTGACAACTGGGGAAACTTATAACACAAATTACTTGGGTTTCCAAAAGCTGACATTAGGCCACCCTTCAAAACGTGTTCTCCCTCGCTCTGACTATGAGAAAGAGGAATTTCTATGGCTGCTCTTGGTATTTTCTTCGGGGGTGTAAACCTGTAGAAACTGGATTAGTTTGTTGACTCCCTCAATTAACTTTAATCTAATATCCTGCCTATTTAAATCAGTGTAAACATTGGTGTATGGGGTTAAGGGAAAGAGCCGAACTGAAAAAGATTTATTTAAGGATTAGTGTAGTAGCTAAATTAGAATTAAACCCAGGAAGTAAACATCCCAGCAATGCAAGCTGTGGGAAACAAGAGACCACAGCAAAGATCAGCGGTTTGAAACAATAATGTGCCACCATGGGAAGAGAAAGGAAGAAGGGGAGAAACAAGTAAATCAAGCATTACTGTACAAATAAGACTCTAAGCCTATTACTGCCACACAGGTTGTGGGGAAACTCCTAATTAAATGCAATAGAGAGGAACTTTTATCCTTTTCATCTTACTCCTCTGTTTGCTCGGTTGGATTATATTGCGGACTGGAATACCCACAGCAATTAGAATAAAAGGATAGATTTGTAGAAGAATCCCTGAAGGTACACAAATTAACAGATTTGCTGGCACCAGATGCGCTGCAGCATCTAGTGAGGGTTTGTTAGAGACTTCACATGAGAAAACAAGCAACAAAACCCAGCTTCACAATCTGTTAGGCAGCACTGGGGACCAGATTTGCCCAGGACATAAATGTATGAGCGGTTTCTCAGCCTTAGCAGAGGTTTGACCCTCTGTTCCCTGCAGCAGTTGATAGGGGCTGTGGTTGGGGTCCTGCCCTCAGTGCCCCCTGCAAGACAACGTGCAGCAGCCCAAGACTAGGTCAGTGATTCTGACCTGGCATAGGAATTCCAATGCAGAGCTCTATATTCCCCGACAGCTTTAGGGCAAGTGCAGGCTCCCTCCCCTGGTCTGAGAACCAGGCAGAGGTCTGTCCCATTGCATCTGTCTCCTGTATCAACGTGAAGGGTTAAAATCTCAGCACGCTCCTAAACGAAGCATCGTGGAGTCCAGGAGCCCTCTGTGTGCCGAAGGCTGAAGGGAGATAACTGTGCTGCTCTCAGGCTACAGCACGGCTAGCTGCCTTCTTCCAGATTTCAAGTGACAGTACTAAGCCTGGCTCTTGGTATTTGCTTAGTAATAGCTTGGATAAAAACACCATTTACTGAGTTATCACCCCCAGACCTCATTTTTTGATGGCAGTTTCCTTCCAGGTATCAATCTGATCAACTCCTCCTGAGTCAGTGACAAAAACCTGGACAAAAGCCTAGCTTGGGGTAATACGGCTCAAGGACGCTCTGGCTGAGGAAGCTATAAATGAGATAAGGGCTTGTTCGTGCAATAAATGCGTTTTCAACTGGTGTTCTTCCTGCACACATCACAGCCTTAGCAAATGTCTGCTGATATTTTACCATCAACCCTTATTGGCAGAAAACTTTGCCCATTGCCATAGGAGCTGGGGCCTGGTGTTAAATGAGGCTTTTCCCATCAGGAGCCAATGCAGCAGCACTTCACTGTGAGAACGTAAGAAGCCCTATGAGGGCTTGGAGCCACAGGCACCCATCCGGGCAGAGCTGAGAGCACACACAGGGTCATCTCTTCCAGCAGAACAAACACACTGCTTCCCAGCCACGTATAGTACTAATCTTTTAGCTCGTTTTGGCAGTTTCTTTGTGTTTTGCACTCCTAAAAAGCTGAAATGATCCAGCCAGCTTATTCCAAAGGAAAATGGCTGAATTTCAGCTCCTATGAGCTATTGTCCTGTAAAATCAGGCAGCTTAGTACTTGGTCTTTCTGACTAAAGCAGCAGTTAACAAGCTGGTTCTTGGCAGAAGGTTTTGGACTTAACCATGACCGAAATACATCATGTGTGTGAATAGTATGGTTTGCATGAACTGCCACCCTGCTTGGCAGAAGATGGGAAGAAATACTGGTCCACGGGTCACTTGAACCCCTGTAGTGTGTCTTGTTCCCCTGCAGGGAGCAGGGAAGAGTGCAGCATCACTCTTCATGCATCATCTCTGCCTGCTGGACAGGGAAGATAGAACCATAGAACCGTTTGGGTTGGGAAGGACCTTAAAGCTCATCCAGTTCCAGCCCCCAGTCTGTGTAGGAAGGGCAAAATCTGTCCAGAGAGCAGCTTAGTGAAGTGCTACGGCATATGAGTAATTCAACTCTGTTTAATGCTGTTACCTTGGAGTCCTGAAGAGTTACAAGAGGCCCCTTAGTTTCAAATGGGTTATAAAGAGTGCTATTTTGAGGCTAAGTCCCACATACCTTTCTCTGAAAATCAGATCTGAAGAGTTCTCAGCTGGAGTATTAACCCCGAGATGTTCACTGGGCACGCTGGGCATCCTGACAGACCCCTCAAGCACATACATATGGGGAGTTTATATTCTCTAAGCTAACACAGCTTGCTGCCTCTACCAGTCAGTGTCTGCGACCTCACCGCCTTTACAGGAGCCTGGCAAGGGGCAGCTTTTGCTTTACAGAAACAGGAGCTTTAAGCTAAGCTGGCAACAGCAACCGTGGTTTGTGTTTGCAGTATTGGTTCTCCACTCATGCTGGCTGGAGGGAGATGGCTTAGCAGCAGTGAGGTGGGGTGGCAGGGCAAGAGAAGGCAGGAGAAGGCAGTGCTGCCTCTATGGCTGGGCTGGCCTGGGCTCATTTACAGTACTTGTGAAAATACAGCCTTGATGCAGGACCCGTGCAGCTCCGTGGGGCTATTTCCATTGACATAAACTTTGATGTCAATCGGTTTGATGTCAGTTGATTTTCAGAGCAGGTCTTTAGACAGGGTCAGTAGGGGAAAAAGCTGATTTACTTGTGCTGTCTTACTGCCCATTGCATTAATCCTGCATATATTAAAGCACCAAATCTGAGTAGCTGTTTCCTCCCCCTATTTCAGTAAAT